CTGGTAGAAGAAGTGGGTCATGAATGGAAAGAGTCATAGCTTGGTGAATGGAGTCAATTGTGGTATTTCATGGGATATTTGGGTGACCTGAGAGGTTAAACATAAGTCATGCGAAACCCTGACTGGGTGCAGGAAGTGCTCAGCTCTGGGGCGTGGTGTGGTGTGGCTCATGCCCAAACACAGTAACTGCATAACATTTTGGTTTAGGTGATGGGTTCTGCAGCCTTGATCCAACATGAGTGGAGCACTGCCAGGCAGCCAAGGCCAGAGCTGGCTCTCTGAGCCATGCTCCATAGCCTGGTGGAGACAAGCTCAGACCTCCTACTCTTACTCTGCCTGTCAGCAGACACTGATGAAGCCCCTGGAACTTGTCTGGGCTTTTGAGATGCATATTTGGAGAAAGAAAGAAGAAATAATTCCTCAGCGGCTATTTGGAAAGACTGAGTCATTCCAGGCAATACAAGTTGTTATGCCAAGCACCTCATAAATCATTTATTTGTCTCTCTGCATTTTCAGTAGACAACATTATTATTGGTTTAGTGTCTTAATAAAAGTGAAGGGCAATGACTCTCCAGACCAGCTTGTGTGTTTTTTTCTGCTGCAAACAACAGAAAGGAGAGAAGATGCCAAAGGAAGCTAACAGGAATGAATGATAACTTCTTTCTTTCATGCGCTTTTCCAAGTAATTGGACCTGCCTTTGGGCTTTCCACACACAGAAAAAAAGAGGAGAATATAAGTTCGCAGGGAGACCTCAAACCATCAGAAAGACCATCTCAGCAACTTCTAATGCAAGCTAATGACTCAACTGTTCAACATGTGCAGTGGTGTCCCTTGGAAGAGCACTTATCAATAAGCAGAAAATTTAGCAATAGAGAGGCTAAAGGAGGGGCAGTACCTTTGACCTCCAGTTAGATGCATTTATAAAAGAACATGCCTCTACTTGAAGGACTGTGCATTAGGATTGGAGTGGGGAATAAAGCTAAATACAGATATTGGGCCAAACTACCAGAGAAAAGTCATCTGGTTATAGCAGGTGTGTGGGGAAACAGGTCCTGTGTGAACCAAGTAGCCAAGGAATCACTAAAACCTACCAACTATTCTGCAGGTAGACAGGCCATAGATGGGTATGAGCAGGGAAGAGATGAGGGGTGTGGCAATGAGGCAGGCAGCTGTCAGCAGAAGCAACAAGCTTGCTTGTCTGATTCTGAGTTAAATGCCCTCTGATCCCTTCAGTGACTGTGAAAAGAGGCTGTGCTGGGGAACTGAAGCAAAGGAAAGGGAGAAAGCATGTTGACGGGAGCCAACCATTTTGTCTTGATACTCAAAACTACAATTCCCTGCAATCTGAGGTAGGAGAGAGAACATCACAAAAAACAACTGCGGGGAATCTCACTTTTCTTGGCTGCCTGGCTAATGTTGTCTGGCCATGAAGCAGGTTCTTGGTGACCTTTCCTCTCACTGCTGCTGGAGGCTCTCTACCAGCAAAGAATGGGACCTGACAAGTGCAACACATGAAAGGCAGTGCAGTCTCTGAGGAAAAGCACTTCCCAACACTGGAGACACATAGAGACCTGTCAGAAAACACTGCAAATCCTCTTCAGCATGGTTCAGGCTGGGGAAGAGTGGTAGAGGTGATGCACTTTGCATGCTCCCCTCAACACTAGAATGCACACCGGCCTGTGAGTACCCTATTCCCAAGAGAAAGGCTTGAGCCAAGGTGCAAAGCAGAGTCCCACACACTTTTCCTCTTCCCTCCCAGATCACCTCCTGAGTTGTCTCTCCCCTATGAAGAGTGCTTTGAGCACAATGGATGCAAAAGTGCAAGACCATTTCCTTTAGCACGTTATAAGCAAATCCCAGGCTATGAGTCAAAAGGAACTTTTCCACACTTCAGGTCTCCTATCTAGATGTGCAATTGGAATGAATGAGTGAATGCGCAAATTATTTAGGAAGTATACAAAAGTGTTTGTTTCCTTTCCAGGTCTTTCACATTCAGTGTTTTTAATTGACTCAGAGGTCAAACCACGGTCTGTGTGGTCAAGCATGGGAGAAGCTACATTTTCCACAAGGGATTTTAATAAAATTATTGTTGTTGTTTTTTTCATTGTCATTGGTGCTGTTGGTATTGTTATTTATTTGTTTATTTATATATTATTGTATTTTGAAGAAGTGAAAGGAATAATGGACATGGTGTTTCACACGTACATCTTCCCTGAAAAAAGTCATGGACTAGAAGTCTATTTGAATAGAAATCCATTTCTCTTCAGTGTATCGGTGCCAAACACCAATAGACACCCTTGTTTCTGTCTCTTCTGAGCCCATGCCTCAGAAGATTTATGCATCTTCAGTAACTGCACTTACAGGTTCTTTTTTCCTCTCATGGTACTGAATTTGGAGGAAAGAAATAGATGAGTAAAAGTCAAGGCAAGACAAACCTTGAAAATATATGTGCTCTGGCATCAGTATCTAAACCAGGTCAAGTACAAGAACCAAGCAAGTTGCCATTCTAAGCAGCAAGAAGTGATTTTTTAACAATATGTCAGTGTACATAATTCAAAGAAGGATACTGCAGTAGAATTTTTTTATTATTTTTATGCATGCAGACCACATGATTTCAGATCTCACATTTCCCTTGAAACATGCTAAACCTGAGGTAGAGTGGGATTAATCTGCTTCATCTCATGTATAATCTAGGGTAATTTCTTTCTCTTTCACTCTCACCTTCTTTCCTCCTTGATTACATGATAATCTTACAGAGATTTTTTTATCACTAGATGGTAAAGTGCTTGACAGTGATGAGAGGTCTGTATTTACTGATGGGTGAAACTAAGACAGGGAAAATTGCTGAAACCACCCAGCAGCAGAGCTTCCAGCATAATATAAACCTGATAAAATGAACACCAAAATACTAATACTAATTCTATTAATACCAAACTCTACAGAGGAAAAAAGGGGAAAAAAGAGCAAGGTGCAACCCGATGAAAATATCCTGAGAATCCATAAATATTGGAAGTAATACAAGAGAAGAAAGCATGGATTTCTCCCCTGTCAAGTGGAGTAAGCTCTTGCCATACAATATTCATTTCATTAGTTGAGGTTTACAAGGAAACTTACTTTTAAACCTCAAGCACATATGTGATAAAATAAGTTTGATCTTTCAGAGTTGGTTATTTATTTTTCTAGACAGCATTAAATAAAGCTTTATTTCTGATGGAACTGCAGGCTGGAGTGTCAGGATTCAAGGAAAATTGTGGAGAAATGGGGAAATGACAGTTCAATCCTCAGACTTAAGTGCCAAGTACAGAAGTTCTTGATCTGTGATTGGCTTGACTGCCATGGAAGGCAGTGCTAAGTAGATGATCTCACATTTTTAAATGAAGAGAACTGAGAAACCATGACTGAAAAGGGAAAATGAGTTTCATCTTTAACACCTTCATTCCTCTCAACAGCAACATGTACCTAAATACCTACCTGTGAAATTCTAAGTGATATCTAACTTCAATAGCAAACAATGGTGACATCATTCACAGATGACATCCATCTGGGGATTCACAGGATGTTTATTGAGTGTATATCATATTCAGCCTCATGAGAATTTTTATCTTTGAAAATAATGAAATGAAGATAAAAAGAAATCTTCCTACTCCCACATCATCCTTTTTCAACTAAAAAGAAAGTAAAAGAATAAAAAACCCACATAAAATGTTTTAAACGTAAGAAATGAGCCTATTTTCCAAAAGGACAGTCAGTTCTGCATGGAGTTAAATTTTGATACATCAGTATTTCCAGATGAAAAATACTTTAAAATGTCCTGGATGTTCCACTTACTGAATTGAGCTCCAATTGTGCTGCATAAGAGCTGACACCACAAAGAGCTTCATCAATGCAGTTGTGAGGCTCTTCACAATTACACCAGGAAGTCAGGAGATCTGGACTGTACCCTAGTTTCATGAGGTGTTGCAAAAGACATGGAAAGACAAAGAAGATACAGAAAACTAGAGATGCAAAAGAGTGTGCTACATAGTCCTCAGAAGTCCTGTACTCACGTGCTGGCATATCCCCAACTTTTTCTAAGAGTTTGGGGGAAAAAAACCATCACATTCAGATCTTTTTCTGTAGAACAATGTCTTAAGACTTCTCTTTTCCCCTGTATTCATTATTAGGAGAATAATTCCATCCAGGCAGAGCTGTCTCTCAGTAGCTACCTGAAAGAGAGTTAATATCCAGCTGAGGGAAGCCCTGACCTCACCAGCTCATTACTGTAATGTAAACAATAAAGAACAAGAGCACATTCCCGAAATGGTTTCTTTTTCCAGGGCTGTCCATTCAGAACCATTTACCTGCTACAACTTAGTCTGAAAGAATTACTTCCAAGGTAACAATGACATGAGCCACCAGACCCCCCTGGAAGCACAGGTGAACACAGACCAGATCCTAGCAGGGAACCTTTCTTCAGTTCATCTTTCTTTAGTAAGGAAGTGTCTGGATTTGTTCTTCCTGCATGTATCTTAGCAGCTTTACTGATCCTGCGCATGAGAAATCACCTTCCACAGCAGAAAGAGGTATGACCCATTACATACGTCATCCCTAACCAGGCAGGAGAATAGACAGAAGAGATATTTCACTAATTTCTAAGTCTTTGGGTTTCCTGTGGTTATCCAGTACCCAGCATACTCAATGGCCACTGACAGGAAAAAGTACTTGCAGCCTACCCAAAGCAGGGCATCAGATAGCATGGCAGTCAATAGGCTTGGACAGACTCTGCAGATGGAACATGGCAACCATCCCAGTATCAACAGCAGTAAAGGCAAATGTTTTAGGAGAATAAGAACTCTCCTACCCTTGTTTCTGTGTGCTTCTCTAGCGTGTCCCATTAGCTCTCTGTTCAATATCTTGTAACGCAAATGTGCTTTCACAGTGAAGACAGCTACCCAGGAGGAACAGCATCAAGCTTGCAGAATGGAAGGAGAAACAAAATCAAGTCAAGCTAATACTTAGGCTCAGGCTAAAGGCATTTGCCAGTGGTGGTGACTTCTTGAACTAGGAGGTAAGGAAGCCGAGGACACCATCTGCAAAGAGAAGATGCAATTTCCCAGTCAGTCAGAGCAGCTGCAGCCAATGCTCTTTGAGGTCAGCAGAGCATCAAAGAGACTGTGTTTGCTCTGTGCTCCTTGAATTCCTGCCCTAGCCTTCTGAAGAAAGCTTCTCAGTCTTGCAGCACTTAACTCATAGGTAAATTAAGAACAAAACCTTGGTGACCAAGGTCTGACCTCTGCATTAGTGTCCTGGTCCCACAAACTCGACTCATCTGGGAATTACAGGGAAGATTTTGGAGTAAAAAAGGTATTACCCTTCTCCTCCTTTTTTTTCCCCTTCCCTTGAAATATATATCTCATTTTGAAGCCTGATGGAGGTAGAGGAGATGAGAGGGGAAGAGAAAGATGAAGCTGCAACTAAGCTGAAAATGAATGGAGGGTTATGGACAAGGTGATATGAATAAATTATATATTGAGGACTGGAGGAATTATGGCACCTCTGCACACCTTTGGGCCTTGAGGGACTGCATGTTTTCTGCAGGAATTCTAAAGAGATTGGAGGCCCCAATAGAGGAGAATGAGAGTTTTACAGTGTGAGGGCTCGAGCGTGCATGACCATGTGCATCTGGCATGAAAATAATTGAGTCTTTCTCCCTCTGAAAAAGACAAAGAGGAGAGCAGCCCAGGCCAAGCCTTTAGGGAAATCAGCTTATGCACAGAACAGCAACTGTGGTATCTTGGGCATCTGCTGTTTCCAGCAGGGAACTAGCTTATTCCTTTGGAGCTGCCTGGTAATTTTTTGTTTCACCAAAGCCTTAGGAGAGGAGGAGGATTTGGCCGGGCAAAAGAGCACTCTGTGAAGATTTATTTTCTCAAAACTTGGATCTGACATTCACCCACCATCTAAGATGTTCAAATATTTCTCTCACCTCCTATAAGCAATGCACACACATAGATAATACTTTTGCTACTCCTTTTTTCAGTATTGCTGTTTATATGAGGATTGCAAGGCTTTCTATAAAGAAAGGCTCCTATCCCCATGGGAAAAGGCTGGAATCCAGGATAGAAGCCAGTCCTTCAAGGACAAACAGCTTTAGTAAAGCAAGATCAAAACTTGATACTAAATTTCCAGATTCTCTAAGCCTGTTTCAGCACATCATTGTGTGTGCAACCTGCAGCTGCAGCCTACTTTGAATTAAAAATAAGCCAACACCAAACACCCCCTGGCAAACATTTTTAAATTCTATATGTGATAAAATGGTTTGAACTGGTTTGGTTTTAATCTTGTCTTCAGTGTTTTCACAGATTTTAACTTTATTTTCAAATATTTTTGTGGCACAAAAAAAAATAAATAAAGCAGTTGCTTCTTTTCTTATAAGAGAACCAAACTTTTCTTATGCATTTATAGTAAATTTGTGAAGAGGGTCCAAACCTGAAGAACTAAAGGCTCCAGATCTACATTCTTGTAACTTCTTACTTACCTGTGCAAGTAACACAGTGGTCTTTGTCACAAAGGTATGGTTTCAAGAGTTGCAAAAAAAACCAACAACCCAAAGGTCTAAGCTGAACCCACTACTAGCTTCAATACTATTTTCCAGAGTGCAGATGGTGACAAAAAGGCAAACTGCCCAAAAATTCACCCTTTTCTTGTCAGAGACAAAATCACTTTGTTCTTTGCCTGCCATCTGAAGAGTTTATAACTCCTCTGGCTTTCACTTCATGTGTCTGTGAAAGCGTGTTTGAGGTAACCCTGTACCCACTCCACACTCTGTTTGGCACTTTGCCCTTTAGGAGTAGGGACAGAAACCCACCATCGCCATGGCTGAAGGGGACCAGCCTGCTGCAGGCTCCCCAGGGCAGTCAGGTACCTGCGGCTAGATGGTGTTTTGATTGATTTTATTAGTCTTCAGATTTTTTAAGGCACCTTGGCAATAGGTAGTTTGAAAAAAAGTTATTAGCCTGTTCTGTCACCACACCTTTTATTCTCTCCTTAACAGAGCTTGGAAAGCAACCCAGTAAGAAGCTCTGCACCTATATGCAGCAGGTGCCTGAATTTCCAGCACACATCCAACAGCTTTCATCTGAACACGCACTCCAGCAAGGAGAAAGTTCCGTCCGTGTATTACTTGCCATGTTAGGGGGCCCTAGCTTTAAGAAGGACAGTGGTCCATCTGTCTCTGAAAACATATGCCAGGTATGGAGACGCAGTTGAGAGGCTGTGAGACACCCTCAGCGCACACATACAGGTAGGAAAAGAAGTTCAGCTGTCTTCTTTGAGGTTTCTTGAACCTCCCTGTGCTTCAGCATGTGCAGTGAAGTTCACCTGAGGAGCAAATACCCTCCATTTGTCCATGAAGGAATAAGACATCGCTTCCTTCTGTAAGCCTGAATCCCGCAAGGATGGTTTCCTTTGTTATATACAGTATTTATTTAACAAGCCCTCAACAGCAGAGACCCTCCTGGAGCATGGTACTAAGACTCAGCTGGACACAAGTACCTCCAGCAGAAAAGTGGTCACGAACACTCACTCAATGCCCCAAGCAACTGTTCATAGCCCTTTTCTTGCTGCAGCTGCTCTCTATGTATGTGTCTGTGACTACTTTTACCCTAGGATTTGCTATGGTAAAGGTTTTTCTCTTTGCACAGAAGTCTTAGAAACTGCTGGTTCTTCAGAGCAAATAGAAATATGCAGAGTGGAGCAAGGCTTTGGTGGAAAACTTTCTCACCCCAAATGTCAAAATAAGAAGCAGTGACAAACCTGCAGCATTGCTCAAACTTAGGAGGAAGCCCCCATAGAGGTAACATGTTTCCTGGTGCTGGAGGGACTCCAAAGACCAAACAAAATGCCCTCTATCCTACAGGGAGTACCAACACAGCTCAGGATTGTATCACAAGAGCAACTGGGTAGAAGCAGCTCTGAAGCCTCCATCACACTTTTGAAGAGCCCCCATTTGTTTTCAGCCTGCATTGAGGCACACCTCTGTTTTTGCAGTTCATCAATCTGAACTGACCTGAATTCTCTTAGACTTGCAGCTTTATTTCATAATCCTCTTTCTGAGCAGTGACTGGAAACTGCCTTTCTTCCTCTGAGTGTACATGCCCTGTAGAGCCATGTTGGGACAGGGACTGTTTAACCAAGTCATGCAGAAGTGAAACAGCTTGCACCAGAGGGGCAGAGAGCTCTGTCCCAGAACACCCTGACATGTGATGGCCCAAGTGGTTTTTCACTGTCTTGGAGAGAGAGATTCAGTTAACTTCTCTGTCTGGGGAGGTTTGTGTTTGTTCCCTGTCTCCAGCAAGACTGCTCTGACCATCAACCTAAAGCAAGCTACAGGGAGCGCGAGTCCAAAATTCTGGCCGAGCAATGGCTCCATTCATATCCTCTGATGAACCCAGCTGACATCAACTTGCAGGAGAAAACCTTTTTCCTTGCAGGAGCAATTTCTTTACCAAGAAATTATCTCACCTGCTCTTTAGAGTACACAGTGAATTTCAAGTACTGGTATTAAAAGATGTTTCACTATCACTCTGTACCTGGAAATCATGGCCTCAGCTACTAATCTATGCCCCTACTGTCATTGCAGTGAAGTAGGTATAACTCTGCTGGTGCAAAACTGCTACAGCAGCGCAAGGATAGAGGGGGGGCAAATTGAATCAGCTGTCTATACTATGTCTTCCCTTTTACTTTATAGAAAAACAGAATTTTATGCTCTACTGCAGAAATCAGGCTCTTCAGGCCTGCAAAGCTCTCCAAAACACAAATTAATGACAACGTTTTTCATTCTTAGATATCAAAGTGCTCTGTGCAGGTGGGTGATTACATACTTTCCTGCATTTTAGCAATGGATCAACTCTCTTAAATAATTTGTCTCCAATCTGTTGAAGACCAGACATCAGGTAAATGGCAGAAGAGTGAAATCTACTAATACCTAGTCTGCACTATCTTGATTGACATTGTAAAAGCTGGGGGTGGGAGGCTAGAGAATGGAGAGAGAGGTGAAGAGAACCGAGGCTACATCTCAGGCATTTAAATCAGTCTCCAAACACTCAGGAAAATATACTCTACCAGTGTGACCACAGGGACTAAATGGCAGATGAGTGCTTTCAGGGAGGCTGATAAACATGGGCATAGCCATCATTTATTGGCAATTAGAAACAGAAACGTGATGTGCAAGCGAACTGCCTGCCACCCTGTAATCGAAGAGCACTTCACAGTATTTATCAGTTCTATGACCAAGAACACATGAATTTTTTAATAATTGCTCCATTCACAGCCTCACCAACGCATACGGAACTCAGACCATTTAAAAGCCATTAATTAATCATTTATTACTGATTACACTTCACAATGGCATCCCAGATTGCTCCTCTGGTGGTGGTAGTAAACATGTCATGGCAGTCCCTTTTTCCCCATTCCAGAGGCCAGCACATCAGCTGTCTCTGATGGAGTATTACTCACCCAGAAGTGTGCCTGTGCCTCTTTACTATGGCAGCAACTCTGGAGCCCAGGGTAGGATAATCTCACCCATGGTATAACCCTGTTCCACAGGACATATAATATGGCTGTGAAACCCCCAGCCAAGACTGGAGTGGCTGATCAGATAGGTCTGCTCAGAAACTACTCCAGAACCAGAGAAAATGTGACCTTTTCAAGGACTGGAGAAGACTGATACATCCCTCTCTGGCCTTCCCTGAAGACACACAGAGAAGCAAACCCCCCGCTCATGCGAAGACTTTGTTCCAAAGAGCATTTTGTTTCAAAATTTTCTGGACTGTTTTGCACCACTAATTAGACCATTTCCACCTGAGTCACAAATTAACAGTTTTACTATGTCCTTCAATATTTCTGGTATAGAAACTTTTTTTTTAAGCCATGTGAAATAGATTCTTAAGTCTGCCTCTTCCATTAACTCTTCAACTTCTTTCCCTCTTTGTTTTTTGCTCCAGCGCTGGTTCCCCCATAGCTCTGTTCTAATCTTTGTAAATTATTCACGACCCAGCATCCTTCACACCATTTCCTGTAATTTATAGTG